AAAAAAAAAAAAATCCAGAATATTCCTGAGAAAATATGATGATAGACTTCACACAAGACCCACAATACTTACTATGATGCCAACATTTGTTTTAGTCTGACTCCTGTTTAGGATATCTTTGTAAAAAAGTCCACCAGGATTAAACTGAGTAGCCCAGATAAACTTTTGTTGGTGATACAGAGCATCCATCCCAATGATGCGGGCATTTTCTTCGGTGCGAGCATGTACTTTGTGTCCATGGCTCTGGTTAAATGGATACACAAAACTTCGGATTTCAGTGTCATTAGCTATGTAGAGCACTCGATCTTCTGGTCCTGCCCGTTGAGTTATTAATATGCAAAAAAAATGAAAAGTGGCTAAATTCCATTTAGGGTTTAAGACAACAGTTTGACAATTACAGATGCAGATAAATCATTCTAACACAGCAATATGCATTTTAATCAATCAGTAATCAGTAATTAAAACTCAACACTTTAAAGGAAGACAATATACTGTACAGTTCTTAAAACATTCATAAATATAAATGTACCACATACACTGAACAAAATTATAAACGCAACACTTTTGTTTTTGCCCCCATTTTTCATGAGCTGAACTCAAAGATCTAAGAATTTTTCTATGTACACAAAAGGCCTATTTCTCTCAAATATTGTTCACAAATCTGTCTAAATCTGTGTTAGTGAGCACTTCTCCTTTGCCAAGATAATCCAACAAAAGTGTTGCGTTTATAATTTTGTTCAGTGTAATTACTGCTCCTGTTTTAAATGGCTTAAAATTTATATCTAGGCCCTGTGTGCAGAGCTAATGTATGAAAAGATCTACTAAAATATTCAAGTCTAAAATAAAATCTCACAGTGAAGCCAAAGGCCAAGCCAATAGAAAATATAGATCCTTACCTTTTGCTATGCAGCTTCCATTCATATCCTTATAATTTTTGTCACATGTACATTTGTACGATCCTTTTGTGTTTGTGCAATAGTGAGAGCAAGTGCCAAAATTAAGACACTCATTGATTTCTGTAAAAAAGAGAAGAACAAAAGGAATTGAGGAATAGCGCCTTCTGGAAACTATGTGATGTTTATGAGTGCAAGAGTTTTTTTTTTTTCCACATGCAGAGTGCTTGAAAATAAAACATCTGATGTGGTCTGCTCACTGCATCTCATTGATCTTAATTCCCAGAAAAAAAAATAAAATAAAATAAAAAAACTATATGTGAGTGCACAATCCCTTTACTGGAAATGTACTTTTAAATGCAAAACATTTTCAGTAGGTTAAGGATTTTCAGGATCTCAAGCTTAACTTTGGCCTCCGGTTTGGTCACTGATTACTGATTACTTGACACAATTTTGATCCTTGAAAAAAATCTAGCTATTTCTAAACAGCTGTAGACAAGTGTACAAATGCTTGACGAAAAGAACAGGCATTTTGAATCTCAAAAAAATGTGTGAAAAACCTTAAAATGATAAAATGATTGACAGGACAGGATTCATAGCAAAAGCTTGGAAACTAAAGTGTACAATTTCTGCACCAATAGCAAACAGAACTGACAAAATAATGACTATTTATCTACCATGTTTGAGCCAAGTTTGTACCATGTCCATGGCCCAGTGTCAGAGATATTTGATTTTTAGAAGGCATATTTACTGTTTTTAGAGAATATATCTTATTTTGCTTAAATAAAGTCATTAAAATAACTCATATTTTATGTGCCAAAGTGCATAAGTAGTTCTAAAACAAAATATCATATCACAATGATATATCAGATATATCAAAAACACAGGAATTCATTACATGGAATTCTTGTCCCACCGTTATAATTGTTATGGGGAATTTTGAACTTATTAATTTCTAAACCTTGTTGAGCTAATGTTGTTCTGCACACAGATTGCAATTCTGTTGGGTGCCACTGGTGTTGCAGAAATTGCACACTTTCACCTTTAAATTGAAAATCTAAATCCACAGTCCCCCCTCGGATAAAGCAGTGAATCATTTTTCTGAATGCTAACAGAATCAGGGAAGATAGTCTGACAGTACCTTCACACTTTCTGCTTCTGAGATTTCTCTGAAAGCCAGGTTTGCAGTGGCAAATTGCATTTGTGTTTGTATGATTGCACACTGCATCCTCCCCACATGGATTCATCCTCTTTCCACATATGTCTCCATTTGAAGCTGGAATGAAAGAGAGAGCTCTGAAGTGACATACTTTTATACTTGCACCCAACTGTCACAGTGCATGATAAGATTTTTTTTGTCTTTTGATGCTTGGTCATAGGCAAAAAAAAAAAAAAAAGCACAAGAAAAAAATCATCTGGAAGATAAGCCTGAATAATTCCAGATGTACAACGCATTTCCATGTGAACCACCAAGGATGCCTTTAATCTGACAATATTGCTTGTTTTGCGACGGATTAATCTGAGAGATTTGGTATCACATGTAATTTGGGTAGCCCCAAAACACGTACAAGCCTTGCAGTCATGTTCATCTGATCCTCCATCTCCACAGTCATCAAACAGGTCGCACTGCAGTTGTGTAGGTATACATTTACGATTACTACAGGTAAACTCTGCCTTCCCACATGGCTTGGGCCTAGTTGACACAGCCTCTGATTTGGTCCCCATGGGAAAGAAGAAAAAAAAAACATCCATTTCAATCCAACCTTCAGCTGGCATCTTATTCATCACCACCCAAAGTGTCTTCAATCAAATTTACTGTGATCATGCAAGTGATTAATGAGCACTATGTATCCAAACGACCTCAGGAACTGCTAGCAAAACAATAAAATCACTAAAATCTAGACTAGATCCTTTGTTTGTCAATTATAAAAAATAAAAAAAAAAGAAGTATAGCACAACAGATGGATTTCCCATTGTGCTGGTGAGGATAAAGGCATCATCAGAGACTTGTGAATGAGCCTACCACATTCATCTTCATCTGAGTTGTCCCCACAGTTATCCACATTGTTACAGATTTGATCAAGTCGTAGACACACTCTGTCATTTCTGCAGCGATACGGCCTTGCTGGAGGACAAGGTAGTTTGGCTATAGAAATGAGAATAAAAAGTTACAGCGTGTGCAGATTTTTTCTGATTTGTAATGCTATTGACTCTTTTATATGTCTCTCTTACACACACACACACACACACACACACACACACACACATTATAATATAATATAATATATACAGTACTTGTCAAAATATTTTTATATGTTTTTAATGAAGTCTCTTATGCACACCAAGGCTACATTTATTCGATCAAAAAACAAACAAACAGTAAAAACATTAATTAAGTGAAATATTATTAAAATTTTAAATAACTACGTTCTATTTGATTTTAAAATCTAATTTGTTCCTGTTATGCAAAGCTGAATTTTCAGCATCATTACTCCAGTCTTCAGTGTCACATAATCCTTCAGAAATCATTCTAATATATAAATATTTTGACAATGACCCTTATGTTGGAACCTGACACCACTAGTATAAGTGATGTACGTTTGGTCATATAGTGTATTTCATTTGTAATTCAGTCAGTGACCCCTACATACAGACAGAGTTTAACATCAGACCACTCAAATTAAAGGATTTCGCCAAGCAACACAAGACTTCAATTCCCAATCAGAGTTCAGCAAGCAAGAAGCGCTGCCGTAGGTCATGCAATTCCACTGGGAGAAATGAATATCCTACCGCACATCTCTGGGTCTTCATCAGAGTTGTCTCCGCAGTCGTCCTCACCATCGCACACCCACACATGCAGCTTACACAGGGTGTTGTTGCAAATGAACTCATCGGGGCGACAGAAGAAAGCATCTGAATAAACAACATTAAAGTGGTTTTAAACTGCAACACATGGATATTTTGCTGAATTAAAGATGGTTATGACAACCTGAACGAACACATACATAATGTGTATATACATGGGGCAATCGTGGCCTAATGTTTAGAGAGTCGGACTTGCAACCCAAAGTTCATGGGTTCGAGTCTTAGTACCGGCAGGGATTGTCGGTGGGGGGAGTGAATGACCAGCACTCTCTTTTACCTTCAATA